AATACGTTCTTCTTGTATAAAACGTAAAACTAACCCTGTAATCTTGCATAACTTTGAGGAATGAGTCAGGTTCAAAGCGCATCATGACCACAAGCTTGCATCCAAGTTGCAAATATCCTCCCATCATGCAAAGCAGGGCGTAGATATGATAGAATGGCAGCAAAGTTAAGATAACCGTATCTTCGAGGAAGACTTCATTCGAGAATAAAATGGACAGCCCGGCTACAAGATTGTGATGTGTTATCATGACACCTTTGGACAATCCTGTCGTTCCACTGGAAAATGGCAGCGCAACGATGTCCTTCATTGGATTGATAGGCACAAACTCCGGAAAAGCTGTTCCATCGTCGGCAAAAAACGATGACAATGGCTCGCATCCCGGCGCCTCGCCAACAACAATTACAGAATGAATTCCTTCCAATGCGGCAGCGTCTTTGGCGTTTTCCGCCAATGGGGGAATGGTAACGATGTATTTTGCTTCTGATACTCGCAGCTGGCGCGCCAATTCCTGGGACGAGTGTAAAGGGTTGACAGTGGAGACAGTGCCCCCCAGAAAAGCAGTGCCGTAGAAAATGATGGGATATTCGATGATGTTTGGGAGGAACATGGCCAGGACATCTCCTTTCTTGAAGCCACGTTTGGCCAATGCTGAACTAAATCTTTGCGTCAGGATTTTAAGTTGTTTGTAGCTGTAGGAACGCCCAGACAGAGCATCCACCTTAGGAAAAAAGATAATCCAATGAAATACAACTGAAAGACACGAAGAAATTTTCACCTTTGTGAAAAAAAAGCTCCCTACTCCTTATTATTTTCCCCATCAATAAGATTTCTTTAGCAAAAACTTAGAAAAAGCTATTTTTAATCCTTTTTGGCCGCAAGTGATTAACACCAGTTTCAAAGGTTTGTGGAGTAAATTTCTCTCACAAAACAAGGAATTACGCAAAGGCAAACTAAAAATGTTTCGTATGTTGTGACCCAAACAACATACGTCACGTAACTTGCGTGACAAGTTAGAAAGTGACAACTTTCAACGCATACAAAAGATGCCACTTTAACGGCATTATACCTTAGAACAGAGATTGCTTTCAAATTATGTACAGATATTATATAAAGATATATATAGATATCGATTGATAGCATCGAAGATTGAATAAAGGTTGACAGATTGATTTCCTATGAAAACATTTCATGAGGAAATTTGCAGAAGATCGATTTGATCCTGATTTAATGAAGAAGAAAATTCTGCAATACATAAATTTTGTTTGCTTTTCTTTTGTATCATTTCCTTATCTGTGTTTTCTGAATGAGATTTAGTGCTTGTTAATCGTTCTCATATTTGCCAATAATATCAAGCGCCACAGACTAAAATGAAATCCTGGGTCGCCTGGAACGATCTTTGTCTTAAATCATGAAGTATACTTACAAGCGCAGTCTTTTCGCCAAACTTATCAAAATTCTGGTAAATGAACTTAGGCCAGGATACATTTTCTGGGATAAAAATGTCTGGGTACTTGCTTTTGAGCGCCATTATTCAACTGCTCGCTGAATAAAATCAACCCGGCCAATTACGAAATATGTGTCGTGTGACATCTGCATGAAATCAAGAGGAGAGCTGGGGACAAAGAGGATGGAATAAAACCGAGGTAGACCATGGAACACGGACTGTGGGAACAAATGAAACTTGGACCTAAGCACTGCACTTTTCTCTTTCAGCCCTGATCCTTAAAACCGCCAGAGGGACTGAGGGAAAAAATTTCACGGAGTAAAGAAGAGCTTCAATCAAAAGGATTAGACAATAGCGACTAGATTCGCTCAGTTTGCTGTAGTTTCACCGACTGAGAAGCTTGCCCTTATATCAAAGGAAAAGATACCGTATTTTGCTCACGGGGTAATAAGCTGGGCCCATCTGGACAAATTTAGTCTATGCCGGCATAAAGCGCTGAAATCTCACAAGTTGATGACTGCAGTCTTGCAATCACCCGACTGCGGACATACCGTCATGCTCTAGCTGACAACCATCAGAAGAATGGACAAGAACAGGCAGGCTGCTGTATGTTTGAGTTTTATTCAAACTGAAAATTTCTAGGTATAAAAACATGAACAGTTTGTAGACCTACTTGTAAAAAGTTAGCTTCAAACAATCACGCCAACGTAGTGTCTTATGCTTGGTAACCTAGCCTGATTTTGAAATCTACTGGTAGTTAATGACTTTTATTACAACTCTTAGGCTGGAAACAACGACTGTGACAGTTAGGTCCAAAAGCATTCATTTTTGTATGGTCACGGTTGATATAAATTGCATAGTTTGAATAAATAACTACAATGTTCATTGCCGCTACTTGAGAATATTTTGTGCGTTTCTGGTGAATTGTTTCGTCAATTTAAGTATTATTTTGTGTATTCTGTACGCATGTTTACGGCTTATTTTGATAAGAGAGATTACCTTAATTTGACTTGACTATCCTCGATGTAGCCATCCGTGTTGAGAGAATCGTATGTGGTGTAAACGCTCTAGTGCCCGCACCCCCCCCCCCTCTTCATGTCTTATCAATTGGTATCTCTTTCAAACAAAGCGTTCATTTGAGAGGGCAGGGGGGACTAAAGGTGACTGAGTCATTATCCCAGTCAGGTTTCAAATTAACTATTACCCATTTAATTAAACACTATATACTGTATGTCATACTTCGTCGAAAACCTACGATAATTAACACGGAATTCATTTCAGACTCTCACCAGCATATCTTGTACTGCGATGAAAATTTGGTAAAATATATACTATACTTTATCTATGATTCAAGTTCTTAAGTTAGCGAGAGGGTAAGAGGGTGGTCTATTCAGTTGAGAGGAAGGCCTTTTGTAAATCTGAAGTTCTGTTGGCGGGGTAGGGGAGTGAAATTGGTGCGTTTATGGTAAGAAAGAGATCAAAGTCCCTCTGACGCTAATTTTTTTTTTATATATATTTTACATAAAAATATAATGACTCTAAAACATGTTTTCGCAAACTTTGCGGTATTTTACCCTTTCCTTAATTTTCATGAAGCTCTATAATCCGCAGATAAAATGTCTGGCCGAGCAAAGAGGGGAATGGGCGCCGTTACGTTACGGTAGTAAGCGTGTGTTCTTATCATGCAAACGAGTGCACTCTGTATTTATTATTACACGACTTAGGAAGTCAGAGGGCCAATAACTAAAATCAACCAATCAAAATGCTCTATTGCCGGTCAATATTCTCTCAGTATTGGACCGGGCACTGTCCCGAATGGTCCCGAATGATACCGCACTTGTGTCTCTTTGAACTTCAGTCGTGTAATAAATCTCTTATTAACCAAGGTTGCTCGGCACCGTACTGGAAGAATATCGGCCCTCGGTCTTTTTTGTACGGACCGAGCGCAGCGAGGTCCGTACTGTCAAGACCTCGGGCCGATATTCTCCCAGTATGGCCCTCGCGCTTGGTTAATAAGATATATGTAATTTCCCTGGCTATTTCAGTGATATTTTCGTGTAATTATGTCCGATATTTCGTGTTGTTCTGACGAAAGTTTCTCCTCCGACTCGGAGTTTAATTATACTCCGGGATACGTGGCGATTGAAGCCGAAATTGCAACTCAAAGCGGTGAGATGGAGGACAGGGAGGACAAGGGAGGGCCATGTTCAAACGAGTCATTAGCTGACGAAGAGTGGAAAGGGACAGAATGTTTATAAGTTGTTTGAAAGGTCTCTAATCTACGGGAAAGTAGTAAGTAACAAGTTCTGACAGAAACCAGCTGAGGCTTCCCAACATTGCATTTCATCCTGACTACTCTGCTCCAAAAAGGTGAAAACCCCTCCAGTAGTGTTTGATCTAATACAGGATGCTTTGAATACAGCGAATAATAGCTCATTGTCTTTTGTTTTGCTAACATTTTGTGCTTACCATTCGTCTCACTTAAAAACTCGCGTGGACATTTTTACCGCGAATGTAGTACAATATTTCAACAAAAGTTTTGGTCTCGGCTTATAGTCGGGATCGGCTTATAGGCAAATAACTACGGTATTGAACATATGCGTGAATTTGAAGTCGGCATTTACTTGTGGTTTATTGTTCATAACAATCCAACAGCTCCTGCAAACTAAAAGTTTAGTGTCTCGGCTTATAGCCGGTATTGGCTTATAGCCAAATAATTACGGTATTGAACATACCCGTGAATTTCAAGTTGGTGTCCACTCAACACGCTTTGCGCTCATAATCTGAATGCACCTCTTTCGTCTTTTTATAGCCTCTGGCCTTAGGCTCGATTACCAGCTGCTGTTCGGGAACCCGAGCCCGCGCTCCTCCCTCTCTACTCGGGGAGGAACGAAAAAGACCGGACTCCAGGGAACAATTTCGGACTTTTTTCGTCTCGTAAAATGACAAAGATGCACCATAATCACCCACAAGTCTTACCAGACACCTTCTTTATGGTTCTATTTTTGTGATTTGATACTAAAAAGTAGGCGTCATGGGGACTTTAAGGATAACTTAGATCTTGATTAGCTCAATTATGTTAAATGATAACACAGCAGCTGGATTTCTGAGCCACACCCACGGCATTTTTATCTGCTCTATCCGAGGTCCCGCTCATTACTTTCTTGTCCGCGTTTTGCCGCAGGCTTCTCCTAAAGCTTTTATTCCTTGCACCCTGAGAGCTCTCGACTTTAGACGGTTTCTTTAGTCTGTCTTTCAGCTCTCGACGAAGAATTTTACCACTTAAAGACTTTGGAATCTGATCTACGAACTCCACTCCGCCTCTCAATTTCTTATAAGCCGCTAAATTTTCATCAACAAATACATGGACATCTTTTTCTGTGAGTGTGACATCGGCTTTACGCACCACAAAGGCCATTGGCAGCTCGCCAGCCTCTGCATCCGGGACTCCAATGACTGCTGCGTCTTCTATTGCAGGATGTGAAATGAGGAGAGCCTCAAGCTCAGCAGGAGGGACCTGGAAGGAACCGAATATTGAAATCACAACATCAGAAGAATTATTACTGATGCAAACGGCGACTAGACGGTGAGTGACTCAGTCAGGCAGTCAGGCATGTCAGTAATTTCACTTTTCCATACCTGATATCCCTTGTATTTTATAAGTTCTTTTACTCTGTCAACAATAAAGAAATGTTCATCCTCATCATAATGTCCAATGTCTCCTGTGTGAAGCCAGCCATCTGCGTCAATTGTCTGTGCAGTTGCCTCGGGATTGTTTAGATATCCTTTTAATAAGAAGAACAAGGTTAAAAAAATCCGTTCCATCTTACTTTATAACATAACCAAAGTGAAGCGCGCGCTCTGATTGGTCAATTTAGCGTCACCCATTTGCCCATGAACGTACGCTGCTGACGCGAGCAAATGTAAAGACTATTTTTCCGCGCGCGCTTGTTTTTTCTGGTCACGTAAGATTTGTTAAATAAAAGGGAACTCTTTAGCTACAATGTATCAATGTTGTGTTATAAAACAAATGGTAAACACTACCGCGTACACTATTGAGTTAGGGATGCACTTGGGAGGTTTGCTAAGTACTCAAGAAGCTAGAGTCGCTCTCGGCTATCGCCTCGGCGACTATTACGCTTCTCTCGTGCTTAGCAGCCTCCCGCGTGCATCTATAACTCAATAGTGTACGTTGTGGTGTTTACTATTTCTTAATTATCTCCACATGAGACGCTATCGCAACTATTCAAGTACACTTATTATATGGCTGTGTCTCACAAGGACTGGGAACTACCGAATTCACGAATTTGATTGGCTGAAGTCAATATTGAAAGCGGTCCAGATTTTCCCATCTAGACCGGCATCTAGACCGGTCTAGAAATAAAAAGATACAAAGAATAGAACAAATTGGCATAAAAGACACAGCTATAAAATAAACATCTTATTAACCAAGCTAGGTCGGTCTGTATGGGAGAATCTTGACCTCGGTCGCTGGTGCAGACCTCACTGCGTTCGGTCTGTACTGGCGACCTCGGTCAAGATTCTCCCATACAGACCTCCCGCTCGGATAATAAGAACTAAATTTGAACTTAGTGTACTTCCCAGAGAACTAGCGAGTCCTCTCAGGATCCGCTGGCAGAAAGAAACAAATTTTCACTTAGGTTACTTAACTTGCGAAATTTCTTTTTCACAGCTGCGCTAACCTTTCATGACTGTTGGTCCTCGGACGCAGATTTCGCCATCATGACCAGGACCTAAAGCCTCCCCAGTCTCCACGTCAACCACCTACAGACGAGAATAAAATGAAAATTGGAGGAAGGAATTGTGGGACTTTCCAAATACCAGGCCTTGTGTTCTTGGGTAGAGCTTTCCCAAGAACACAACAGCTAGAAGGCTTGCCCAATCCTAACCCAAGAGCTAACGCAAACCAGACCCCTCAAGCCAGAGTCCATCAAGCTAGCGGCTTTGTCATTGTGTTCAAAGGGAAGCTGGGTACGAGTCAAGGGATACGAATTCAATTCATTCATTAAATCAAATATATTCAAGTGATTGTTACCTTGCACCGTAGATTTGGCAGTACCCACCCCACAGAACCGTGTTTGTTGTTTTCTGCTGGAGTCATGTGACACACCGGGCTTAGCTCGGTCATTCCATAACCTAACGGAGGGAATGAGGGTGCAATTATTTTCGTAGTTGTCTATTCAGCATGCTTGAATTAATGCAGTTTATTTCAAGAGTTCGTTTTTAAAAATAATCCCGCGAGACATCGTAAGGTATCCTGCTGTTTCAGATACTGGCTGAGTTTTGGATGAATTTCCACAGAGATGTAGGGGACTCATGAAAACTCCCCTCCCCTCAACAAAGAAAAAAACAAAACACGTTTACGACGTAACTACTGTATAAATATTTATCATAAAATCTGCTAAGAGATTTAAGTAAGGATTATGACCTTGACAGTCAGCAAAAAAGGGTAAATAATAATAAATTTAAGCATAGTGTTTTCCCTATATTTTCAGGTAGCCCTCACAAAATGCCCAAGTTTATCCATCTCAGCTGAAACCCTGTCAACAATACATTTTTCGATTCCACTGAAGGTCAGTGTAATACGCTTACCTTGTCGCACGCTGCTGAGTAGCGGAAGTCTGTCCATTAGAGCTTTTGAAACTTGTTTTCCCAAGGGAGCCGCTCCATTTGTGACCTCAGTCAGATATGACAAGTCAAAATTATCAACGGAGGGGTGCTTAGCTAACAATAGAACCACAGGGGGTACCGCGGGAAGATGTGTCACCTGGAATTAAAAAGGACAAGGTAAAACGTCTTTAATTTACATTTTATGGTTCATATCTACATCATAAAAAACGGTAAAAAAATCAAAGTGGCAAATGAACGATTAACACCGAATGACGATTAAGACCAATGGCAGAACACAAATTTTAGTTTTTTGTATAACTAACCTCATAGTTCTGTAGAGTTTGTAAAAACTTGCCCCGCTCAAATCGTGGCATAGTAATGATAGCGCTTCCACAACGAAGACCCATTGACATTATGGCCACCATTCCATAAACATGAAAAAACGGAAGGAATGCTAAAAGAACTGTTGTATCACTGAAGCTTAGAAAGCCTTCTGTTCGCATCATACTTCCACATGAGACGAGATTGTAGTGAGTTAACATAACACCTTTGGGGTGACCCGTGGTCCCGCTTGAAAAGGGAAGAACCGCTGTGTCTTCCCTGGGTTTTATTGTGACGTCAGGAAAGCTAGAACCATCATCTTGGAGGAGGGCTGAGAGCGACTCACATCCGTCGATGTCACCTATGACGAACATATTCTCTCGTCCCAGGTCCTGCATAGCCTCTTTTGCTCGATGAACCAACTGGGGTACGGTAAGTATCCATTTGGCATCAGCCAGTTTTAATTGTTTGGCAAGTTCTTCGGTTGTGAAGAGTGGATTTGCTGCCGTGACCACGCCACCTGCCTGAAGCACACCGAAGAAAACGATTGGAAATTCGGGAAGATTTGGTAAAAACATAGCAAACACCTCTCCTTTTTTAAATCCTCGCTTGTTTAGAGCAGACGAAATTCTTTTGCTCAAATCCTTTATTTGGCGATATGAGTATGAGCGGTCAGATATGGAGTCTCTCTGTCAAGAGAAGCAAGTTTTTAATAATTGACTAATTCATTAAATATTAGAAGTCTTTCTTAGGGAATACGTAACTGATTCGTAGTATGAAAGACTGTGACAAATCACGAAGTACATGAAGGCTTCGCTGACTATATATGACACTGACAAGTGGGAGAAAATATTTTCACAACAAAAGTGCTCAACGTATTTTGAGCAAAAGTTTCTTCACGAGCCAATTTTTTACCGTAAGTTTTTTGCTTTCGATTATTGATATATTGTTTTTAATGCTACGAAGAGGGAAAAAACGTCTAAACGGATTATTTTACGCGTGTTTTTTTCTGAAGAGCATCTATGAGCACAATGATCGAGGATTTTGAATTTAAATGGAAATGATCTTACTCTAGCCCTATTTAGGCTTTTCCCCCCTCCTCTACGAAACTGACTAGAAACTAAATAACATTGTTGTTTGTTTTAGCGCTGTTTCTCTGGCCGAGGGAAAATTTGAGACGAACGTAGAGAGGTTAGACGGGAGTCTGGCACTAATGAGGTGCTAGACCCCTTCTGGACCTCTCGCTGGTTCGCGGCCATATAATTTTCCTCTCATCAGTACTGAAGCGCTAATAATGAGGGCGTGTTCGTAGGCTATATTTAAAAAACAACAAAAAAATTAATGAGAAACTCACGATGGCTTCCCTGTCCTCGTACTCATCAAATTCCTGAAAAATAAACTCGTTCCAAGACAGATTCTCTGGAATCTCTATATCAGGATTTTTACTACGGATAACGTTCTCTTCTTCTTCGTTGTTTCTGTTTTCAGTAACTGTGGTTAGTTCGGCAACAACTCTCGCCTTTAGCTCTCTTCGTAGTATTTTACCACTTAAACTTCTTGGTATTTTATCAATGAATTCTAGACCCCCTTTTAATGTCTTATGCGGTGCCACTCGCTCTTCAATGAATTTTATAATCTCTTCTTCAGTGATCACTTCGTTGGTCTTCTTTACGACAAAGGCTTTTGGAAGTTCGCCCGCCCTTACATCCGGGACTCCGATTACTGCTGCATCTTCTATGGCCGAGTGAGAGATAAGGAGAGACTCGAGCTCGGCTGGAGGAACCTGGATATTAGAAATAGAGTGAAGAACGAAACTGAGTCATCTTTGTTTGGGGGGGGAGGGGAAGGGCTAGCTGACTGCAAGTTAGACACATCTGTAATTAAACGAAAAGAAAGTACTTTAGAGGAAATCACCATACCCTGCTATCCGCAATTAAGCTGTTTATTTTTGTCATCAACTTAGAGAAAAGAAAATGTGTCTATTGGAGCCTCGTGTGGGCAACAAATTCAGCTAACAGGCAGAAATAAATGCCAATTACCTGAAATCCCTTGAATTTGATAAGTTCCTTGAGTCTATCGACAATAAAGAAATTTTCCTCATCATCATAACGTCCAATGTCCCCCGTGTGCAACCAGCCATCTGTGTCAATCGTCTGCTTGGTAGCTTCTGGGTTGTTTAGGTACCCTGCAGAGAGTTTAGATTACTGAGACACAGCGTTATAAACCTGGCTTTAAACTGGTCATGAATCACAATCAGTCAAAAAAAAGGGAGTCACGCCTTACGCCATTGAAATCTCATTGATAACCTGAATGTGCCGCTTAGAATGAAAGAATGCGATGAATTTCTTTTTGAAAATTTCCTTTTCCAGCGTTTCTTTTAGATATCCTTCCTTAAACCAGACAGAACCCTCCTTCAAATTCCACCTCAAATTAAGAGAAAAACATTACAAATTTGATGTAGATTTAGCATCAGTTTTAGTTTCCAAGATTATTTTAATACAAGGTGTACCTTTCATAACAGTGGGTCCTTTGACACAAATCTCGCCTTCCTTATTGGGACCAAGTTCATTACCATTCTCAATGTCAACAACCTGGATAAAAAAACAAAACTTATTATTTTACGGACTGAAGTCCTTTGCACTCGTCCCAAACCAACGTGGAATAATAATTTGATGTGCTGTACGCATTTTTGTGACCAGATTTGTGAATTTCAGACACAAACGAAACCAATGCTGTTCATTTCTTCTTAGTTTAATGGTATAGATATAAAAAAGGATTTATCATAAAAGTTGGACAAATATGACCAAAAACTATGAAAAAATTATCTCGTGGTTAAAAGAGGGTTTAAAGTAATAAAGTTGCATTTATGCCTCTTGCTCGCTTGCCTATAACCAAGTGTTGTACACTGTGCATAGCTAGGGGTGAGCTCGGTTTTCTGGGAGAATTAAACGGACAACATTTATTTGCCGTAATTTGGCCACTCAGTTGAGTGGCCAATACCAAATCAAGTTACAGTAAAACCGGAAATAGAAAGCTAATCCCAGGTAAGGTGAGGGCAAACACGCCAAAGCCCTGATCGACCTGAGAGACAAGGCGCCCCACCATGAAACAATCTGGCACAAAATCTATAACACCACAAGGTAGTTATAGGAATACAAAAGATGCAACAGCACTAATGGTACATGAATGCCACAGAGTAGTAACACTCCCGCCGAGTAAGTATCATGACCCATGCTGAGAAAGCCAGAACTGTACATCCCTCCCATACATAAGATGAATTATTAAAAAAATAAAAGGAAGAGAGATGACAATATAAAACAATCTGGCACAAATTCTACAACACCAAAAGGTAGTTATAGGCATACAAAAGATGCAACAGCACAAATGGTACATGAATGGCACAAAGTAATATTGTTTGCCCTGCGCCGAAGCTTAACTAAAAGAGGCCCGAAATCAGATGTTCGAATGTTTAAGTATCTGCCATTGTAAGTTCCGGATGCAACCCATCCGGGATAATGTCAAACACGGCGCAGGCTGCATAAATTAATTTATTCCCTTTGGTAATAATTGTCATTTTTTCCTAAGTCTGATTTAAGTGGTGAACAGGCATTAGAAAAAGCACTGAAAAATTATTCACAAACAGCTTAAGTAGCCTTTGTCGGAGCTGTCACTCACCTTGCACTCAAGATTTGGTAACAGCACTCCCACAGATCCATTTTCAACGTTATCGAGAGGTGTCACGTGTGATGTTGGACTCAACTCCGTCATGCCGAAACCTAATCAAGAAAAAATTACTTGACTTGTATCAAACAACTGATGTTAACTTCCAAGCTATGAATATGCTATTTCACTCTATTTCACGGAAGCATTGTGGATGTAAGCTAGGGGAGGAGAGGGTGAGAAAGATTCTGTCTTGTATTGTCTGTCCGTATTGCGTACCTTGCCTGCACCATTCTATTGATGGAATACGCTCTTTCAGGGAATTCATTAACTCGCCTCCAAGTGGGGCTGCCCCAGATGTCAGATCCTTTAAGCTGGACAAGTCATATTGCTCGACAAGTGGACTCTTGGCTAAGAATAGCACAACTGAAGGCACAACAGCTGCATGGGATACCTAGAGAACGAAATTTCGATTAAAAAGAGTGAAGAGAGGAAAGTGTCTCGCCAAAGAACACAATATAACTATCCGGCCAAAGCTAGAACCCAGACCTCGCAATCTGGAGTCCAGTACAGTAACCTGAGGCTACCGCGTCCCACATGCTTGACTCAGAAAGAGACGAGCAGGGGGACTGGTGAAGAGTCAGGAAGGGTGTTTATGAAAGAGGGAGCTAAGTTAGTCAGGATGGAGGAGAGGAAGGAAGGAACGCCACAAACCTTGTAGTCTTGAATGACCTTGAGGAAAGAGTCTGGTTCAAACTTTGGCACACACACAACCGTCCCACCTTTAAATAAGGCACAAGACATCGAGATAATTTGCCCAAAAATGTGGAAAAAAGGTAACAAGCCAAGTACGACTGGCTCATCATTGTTAAACATGAAACTGTCATGAGTTACTATCGAAGCCTCTGCGATCAGGTTGTAATGGGTCAACATTACTCCTTTTGGAGCTCCTGTAGTCCCGCTCGAATACGGCAAGCAGGCGACGTCCTCCTTGGGGTTGATCTCGACATTTTCCGGAAAATCTTCGCCCTTGTCTTCGAGCAAAGACGAAAGTGACTCGAAATTTTCGGCTTCTCCGACAACGTACACTGTATTAATTGCAACGTTTGTAGCGCTCTGCTTGGCTTTTTCTGCAAACGGTGGAATTGTTATGATAGAAGTAGCTCCCGCATCACGGAGCTGGTGTGAGATTTCGTCCACTGTATACAATGGATTTAGTGTTGTCACGATTCCACCTATTAATAGAGTGCTGTAATAAATTATTGTAAACTCTGGCATGTTTGGGAGCAAGATGGCGAAAACGTCGCCTTTCTTGAAGCCTCTCTTTGTAAGGGCCGACCCGCATTTTCTGGTCAATTGGATTAGCTGTTGGAAAGTGTAAGAACGGCCAGATGGTCCGTCAACCTGAGAATAAGAAACAAAACAGATTGTAGGACTTAGGTTGAAATTCTGCGTAAACTATCTAACGACATATGGCCGAAGTTTGGAAAACAAACTTAATTTGCTTTCTGCACCACGGCTGTCTGAAMCCCATCTTCTCATATTACCTACGTGGTTCTGCATCCTATTTCGCTATAAGTTTCACTTGTGAAAGAGATATATGCTAGAAGTTGATTAAGCATCCTTTTATTTCAAGAGTGGAATGTACTCTTTATGATACTGTTGTCAACAAATCTTTTCTTTTTTTAGGAGGAAAGATTACCGCCCCACACCACCCCTGATGAAGTCATCGTGCCGTGCCCCTTTGTCACTCGATACATGTGCCAAATTCTGAGTGGGTGAAGAAAACAGTTATTGCCTTTATGTAGTGGAACCATTTCTATGATTAGTCAACTCATCAAAATTTAGATCATTAAATTAGATAAAATAACAAAACAGCAGCAATCGAAATACACCGCTGTTAACAATGGGACTTTCATGGTCAAAGTAACATTTCTATGACAACAGAAAACATTTAAAGTGGCACAAACAGCAATAAGTTAATTAGCTACTAATTGAACATAAACTTTGCTACAAGCTACATCAAATACATCCAAGTTACTACTTAATAGTTACAAGCAGTAAATATTTTTATGGAGCGGATATTAACCGGTCTGCTGATAAGATTTAGAAAGATTATTGGAAACTGTAATCTCCTTGCTTTTTGCTGTAATTTTTCGTGAGCAGAAGTCAACAGTTTTAAAAGAGACGATCTTCCCTGTCCGGCAGACCAGTTAGAAATAACATTTGAGGTGTGAATAATTTCTCTTTTATGAGTGTGGCAGATTTTCGTTCTCACGTGCAAATGACTGCTAATAATCTATGTAGAATCCGTCAGAGCGGCGAAGGTAGAACTGGTAGAGACCCAGAGCTCAAAGCCTAACAAAACAACGTCGCTAATTTTAGAGTTAATCGTAAAGGATTAGCAACGCTTTCATCAAAGCTATGAACACGTACATGGATTTCCAGCTTTTACTGCATATCATCAATCGATTTTCTTCCCATTTCTTCGACTGCCTATGATTTGGTTCAACGGCTGTTTGAAGAGCGATTCAAAACAGCTAAATACGTATGCCGGTCAAAGTTGACTGTGAAATTACAACGATTCATTTTTCTTCTAATGACCCCATCTGTTTACATACTATATCTTTTTAGTCAGAGAAGTGGAATATGAGGGTACACTTTGCAAGACTTTGCAAATGACCGACTAAAATTTCTTCCCGTTTGACTGATATACTGTACTCACAATCGCCGTCTTGTCTCCGTAGTTTTCAAAATTTTGAAACACAAACCGAGGCCACGAAAGATCTTCAGGAATGTGAACGTTTGGCACTTTGCTCTTCACGACCATTTCCGCTCAAGAGCTGTTCGTTTCAAATGAACCTTACGTACACCGACAGTATTCACTCCAAACAAAACGATTGTCAGTTGACTGTTTTTAACAACATGGGTAAACTGTGCGAAGTAAAATGTCATGCAGTTGCTGAACTGATGTGTTTTCAGTTTTCAAGCGTGAATTAACAGAGGCTCTTGATTGGGTGTTTTTCCTATTGTTTGATGTTTTCAGTGATTATGCAAAATAAAATGGTAATCAAACTGATCATTTAAATTCGCTTTTCTTAGTTTGGACAAAGAAACGACAGTTAGGTGGTTGTCACGAACAACAGATATAAACAACTTAAAAAAGAACTGAAATATATCTACACATGTTTAAGTTCGTGTTGATTTTGGCACTTCTTCCCCCCAAAAAGTAAAGATTTTGAAATATCACTTAGTCGTGCCCAATATTTATCACAATATTTGTTTACCCCGCCTTTAGTAAAATGAATTATAAAGAAGGGTGTACTCGAACGTGTTAACGTCTGCGAAACCTTTTAAGCGAGGTGTCGGGTTTGCGCTACAGTTTTTTCTTTAATCGTGTTACGAAGGCAGCTTGTTACCGATATGGGGTCATTTTATTTAACGCTCTTGAAAAATCACCAACACTCGCGAATTGCGTGTGAAATCTTCTACGTGACGTGATCCATTGGTTAACAAATGCTAATGAACAAATCCCAGTGACGTCAAACGGGTAGTCGACTGGAACACTCGTATCGCTTCAGGGCTTTGTGGGTTTCACAATAGGGAGCTTAAGCAGAAGGACTTTTGAAGACGACGCCGCCGTCAATGAGCAGTTGAGACTGGGACTAGGTCCATTGCGCATGACATACCCCCGGCAAACAACGTCCTCCTTCCGGCGACGACGTGAGTTTTAGGTATTTGACGGCGTCGTGAAATGTGAGTGATTTATGAGATTTCATGGCTTTTGTA